AAAGTTTCGTCGGAACGAAGTTACGGAAAGTTAATTAACGAACGGAGACGTAACAATATTTTGGAGAAAAGGGTTACAGGTACTGTCAATGTGTATTAGAGATACTATCTATGTGTATGGATTCATATTTTGGGGAAGGGTTCGAGATATTTTAGGTGTCTGTGGATTCATATTTTTATTTTAATATGTGACTGAAGAGCCATGTTGGATCTATAGCTTAACCAAATAAAAGTCTAATCGTGTTTACGTCAAGCTATTCGAAAGTTATGTTAATTCACTAAAAAAAAAAAGAATTCGGAGCTCGGACCCAGAGTCACGGGAATTTTCGGCGTTTCAGTATGATATCGATTATGGTTTTCTATTCTGATTTTTTAAGACACCAGCTAGGGATTCTGGCCATTGTCAAGTAGAATCGGGGCACGAGCCCCTTGTGCCAGTGCCTAGCGACGCCTGTGTATTGAGTTACGAATATATGTCAAAATTTTCTCTCTCACCTGTTTTACCTGGGCATTATCATCATCTATTCTGTGGATCATGGATCTTGGTTTCATACTCGAAGACACCGGCTGATTTTTGATTCGAACCGACATCTCAGTGGAATAGCCCCTGCAATAGTAGAAGAACTTAAAGTTACGATTCGTCAGTTATTAAAATAACAAAATATATTTATCAAAATAGTTTATTTTGATGGAAAGATTCAAGTGTTTACTGTCAGTTAAAATATAAATTAAATAGTTCAAAAAGAGAGAGTAATAATGACAAGTCAAAGTTTCCAGCGAATACAAATGATATCTAATAAATACACCAGTACGTTTGTATATCATATTAATACATCTAATCTTTAAGTTACTTGTTGTTGTTTTTTGTTTGTTTGGCTGGAATTAAGCACAAAGCTAGTTACTTGTAAAGAACTGTCCCCTTTAAGATATTTATAGTCTTACTCGAAAAGCAGAGGTCACAAAGAAATGACTGTAGTAAAAGACAGACAGAACTATAATCAGCCTTTCAGTTCAAAACTTAGGGACGGCAGCTACTTAACATCGCCCACTGCCAACTATTGGGTTACTCCAATCGAATACTGAGATTTGACCAGCACTCTTACAACACAACGACCTCTAAGGTGCATAGTGCAAATTTGTTATTGTTTTTTTGGGGGGAGGGAAATAGGACGCGAATCCCAAATCTTCGGATATACAGTTGGTCAAGCTTGCTACTAGGCCACGCCCGATCCTAACAATGCGTTAGTATATTGTTTGGGTTGACTTACGTACAAAAATAAAAGCAAATCAGTATCATGATAATGGAACTTCGGTTATTACGAAAAAACAAAACAAAATGGTTTAAATACGCGATACTGGAGCTGTAAAATCTCCAGAGTTCGTTTTCATTTTAACTTCGTCTCCAAAACATGCTTACAAAAATGCATCTTCTCTATCTGGATTTTGTGGATTTTCCTGCAGTTCATTTTTCACTCTACACAATCAGCATTTCTCTAGGTAGGCTCTTATCCAGTTTTCTCCAGGTAGGCTCTTATCCTTCTCTTGGTAGGATCTTATTCAGTTTTCTCCAGGTAGGTTCTTATCCAGTTTTCTCCAGGGAGGCTCTACTCCTGTTTTCTCCAGGTAGGTTCTTATCGAGTTTTCTCCAGGTAGGCTTTTATCCAGTTTTCTCTAGGTAGGTTCTTATCCAGGTTTCTCCGGGTAGATTCTTATCCTTCTCTAGGTAGGATCTTATTCAGTTTTCTCCAGGTAGGTTCTTATCGAGTTTTCTCCAGGTAGGCTCTTATCCAGTTTTCTCTAGGTAGGTTCTTATCCAGGTTTCTCCAGGTAGATTCTTATCCTTCTCTAGGTAGGATCTTATTCAGTTTTCTCCAGGTAGGTTCTTATCCAGTCCCTTCTACAAGTTTTTACAGCTTAATCACATACCAAATCATTCGTCGATTTAACAGTTCATTTTCCTAGAGACGAGTAAAATTGAATAGAAAAAATAATCAGACACTCCAACTGATCGACTAATCTTTAATCCTTTTCACGATGCATTTGTAACCACAAAGACGATAATTAAGTCTTAATTACAGTGGAAGCAGATAAAATCGAAGTTAGGGCTAGGTGCATTAGTGCAATGGCCCATTTCGGCTTTTTGACCACATTCGTGTTCAGTATGTTTTCGTATGGAATAGCATGAATACCAGGTTTCTTGCTCCAGTTGCTTGAGGTATGCGACTGTTGAACGGATATGTCAGGGAAACTATTTGTGTACACGTCACTTGTGTTGCTTTTCCAGACGGAGATCCTTCTTGATCATGTTGCTTTACTGTTGCTGGTGCTTGGGGCACTTGGACGGCTTTTATTGCCACTAATCTTTGTGTTCGTGGATTCTCACCTATTACAAGCAGTTTTCATCACGGCTGGGGTACGACTTGTTGCAGTTACCTTTCTGAATTGCCGTTGTACCCCAATATGATTCATATTTCTTTGTTTTCCAATGCCGTTAAGCATAAGGGATATCCCAGCTTGAAAATTCTAAATCCTTGATCTCAGTACATCTTTATGATATGAGAACATTAACATTTTGCGACGGAAAGAGCTGTTACATGCCCTTCCCAAAAGTGGTCAGTTTTCGGGAGCATCACAGTATATGCACAAGGGCCAACAATGTTACGCTGTAGTTCTGATCCATTTTGTTCTATCACGACTGTACAACAGCTGTCGTTGTTACGTGGCTTGCTAATTTGCATATTCAAAATCGTTTTGATATAACGTATTCAACTCTCTAGATTTGTAGAAATGACGCATCTCCAATTAAATATTTTGGGGAATTAAGATACAAGTCAAAAAAGTTGAACTTTTCCTACTTCGAAACACTTTATAAAAACTGCTTTGTTCAGCTTCTCATCTAAACCAAATGTTCCTATTTCTCACGTGAACTTTAGTTTAATTCTAGATATGATCGACAGGGTATAAAATTTTGACAGTCTAATTTATTCTCTCGCAGATTTTATATTTACTAACTAAAGGAGTATTCATTTAATTTTCTTGACATCAGAATAACAATTATTTAAGGCATTTTCATCTTTCATAACTGTGTTATGTCACGTTTTTGTTTCTTTCAATTTTATAAACACGTTATCAATCATTCATTTACAAAATTACCATAATCAGTTTAGGTTATATAATAACATTTCCTTCCTATCGCTCACTAGGGGGCTCATACGTGACAATTGAAAATTCAAACTATTAATACACACATATCCACTAGATAGCGCTTTCAACTAAAAACCACGAAAAAAAAACAGTTCATTTGACTTATTTAAAGACGATCAATTTGCAAAGAGAAAGAGAAGCCCATTTCATAAACATTAGAAAAGAAATGAATGTCATCAGTAACTTCAATTACTCTAAGTCGAGTTTTTTTATAACACTAACAACGTACTGTGGTGTAAAATACTATCGGTCTGAAATTTTTACTAGGAGAACTAAAGTAAGAAAAAACGTATTCCTGCCAATGTAATTGGAATAATAAACCTCGTGTACATTCTAAAACCCTGAGTGGAATGTTCTTAAAATCTCATTACCATACAAATGAAGAGGCAGACTGGAATAGATTTCGTTCAAGGTGTCAGATCTACGAAATATTGACTTTATAGTAGAATTTACCGTTTTACAGAGAAAAGAGAATGCTTAATATACACATCCATGATGCTTAATATACACATCCATGGTGCTTAATATACACATCCATGATGCTTAATATACACATCCATGATGCTTAATATACACATCCATGATGCTTAATATACACATCCATGGTGCTTAATATACACATCCATGATGCTTAATATACACATCCATGATGCAAAACATACACATCCATGATGCTTAATATACACATCCATGATGCTTAATATACACATCCATGATGCAAAACATACACATCCATGATGCTTAATATACACATCCATGATGCTTAAGATACACATCCATGGTGCTTAATATACACATCCATGATGCTTAATATACACATCCATGGTGCAAAATATACCCATCCATGATGCAAAGCATACACATCCATGATGCAAAACATACACATCCATGATGCAAAACATACACATCCATGATGCAAAGCATATACATCCATGAAGCAAAGCATACACATCCATGATGCAAAATATACACAGAATTCTTGAGATTTGACTCCGCTAATATTCAATTTACACAGGATTCTTAAGATTGAAATCCTTAATACTAAATTTACGTAGGATATACAGTTGTTTAATTTCAGAGACATACCTCTAATGATACATTTTAACTGTATATGCACAATATACGATACCCACCACTAATACTATACATGTGATTAATTTCAAGGTTGCTTTTTGAACTTTGCTGATATATATATCCATATTAAACAATGATGAAAATATTGTTTTATAATAGATACAACCAGGATGTTATTACAATATTGTGATCTGATGTGAATTTTTAAATAATTAAACTTTTTATATAGACAAATACTAGTATATCAACCTCACAAACACAAATATATATATATGTTTAGCTTTTGCAATTGTTAATTGAATGCTATAAAGGAAACACAAATTACACACACACAGAAATATATATATATATGTGTGTATACGTGTGTGTGTAATTTGTTTCCTTTATAGCATTTAATTCACAGTTGCAAAAGCTAAACATACAATAATAGACAATGTATAAATGAGGATAAGGTAACAAAATTTACAGCAACTTTAAAAGTACAATAAAGTAAAATGAAACATATTTTGATGTAATCAAATAAAGAACGCTTGATTTCAGGGTGTCAAACGTTACATTCTTCGAACAAATGTTAGTCCCACACTGCCAGAAAATCAAGATCGACAGTTGACGTATTTCTACGAATATTATTACTGTTTCTACTGAGAAAGCATGTAATACACTATGAGACCCTTCGCAACTCTGAGATTTTTGTGTTCTGATTTTATCAAACAAAGGTTATTATTACAATAGATATAAGGATCCCGCTTTCATTTCTAAGAATCGACAATTGCGTAAGTACGTTTCTGACGTGTAACGTCGAGAAGACGAGAAAACGTGAAAATAAAGACTGATCAACAACACGACAAACCAAGAACGTCGAACACTTTCCGAGAGTATGAACACACATTCTTTGCGTCACCTAGCAACGGCGGCTTTCGTTGTTTTGCCTATACACGTAAATCTATTATACATATATGTACAAAACACCAGTAACGTGGATAAATTGCCTTTTGTAATAAGTCTGACATATTGTCAGGTGTCAGTTCGCGCGTTTCTTCCACAACAAAACGATGAAAAACCAGAGAAAATTATTGGAGGAGAATCTTAGGCAGTTATTCGGTTGCCTGGGAGATATAACAATCATGGTTTGCTATACGCTGCTTTCAATTTGTTTAATAACCAATGAGATACAAAACTCTACAAACTGACTATCCGTAGGCTTAGGAATGCAGCTAGTGAATCACTGAAATGAATTGTGATGTTATAGTTGTAAATAAAGTTATTAATTATTATAAACAAATTGTTTTTGTTTTTTTTCTAGCGTCAAATTTTCCTAGCGTGACATCTATTAGATGATCTTTATTTGATGATAGGTTCGCTTATTTTCTAACAAAAGTATATTGTTTTTGAAAAATTCAAATTGTGGAATCTCAGTTGGAGATTCGCTACTAAAATGTTTTTAAAACGCCCAGTGACATTCAAGTCAATGCATAATCACGGAAAAGGGCGATGACCTTTCTTTGATGTTTTCATGACGTTTTATTTTTCTTCTCTAGGTATATTCAATTGTACAGCCAAGATTATCGTCGTTACCTGATAACCATATCCACATATCACAATGTTTATTAGAATAGAAAAGCCATTTTTAAGTTAAATGTTAAGTATTAGCTACCATGGTTACATGTCAATTTCTTAGAGTTTCATTTCCCAACATGTATAAAAAGTGCGAATAAAACCCAACTGAAAACAATAATAACATTAATAACAATAAACAACAACAAAAAGATAAATTAACCTCTATATCTGTCTATCTATAAAAGAAATGAATACTCACACAGTTCCCAGTGTCATGTCAGCTCGTTCCTTCACAACAATCCATAGCTGTCGACATATCTTTGTGTAAGTGTAACCCATGACACTAGATGGCACCATAAGGATAAGAATCAGCATATAAACTTCGTAACCTCGCCATAGGATTGAACTGTACCAGCTTCGAACACACCAGTAAGCTTTGATTCGTTCTCCAACTTCTAAATGTGTCTAGATTCATAAAAAATGTGATTTAGAATTAAACAAAATCATGTTTATCAGGGTCTTTCATACTAAATCATAATAAACTGTGATTAACATGAAAGTAAATCATGTTTATCTGGGTCTTTCATATTAAATCATAATAAATTATGATTAAAATTAAATGAAATCATATGTATCCGGGTTTTTAATACTAAATCATAATACACTGTAATTAACATTGAAAAAAATCATGTTTTTAAAGGTTCTGTAGTACAAATCGTAATATTAATTTATTAATTATATTACGAAATCTCCCAAATTAGTGGAAGTTATGAAAATCTTAAAACATAAAATAAACTTCGTGTTTTGTGACTTTTGACACACGAACTCTAACCTAAATTATGAAATAAACTGAACAGTGTTATGTGTATTTAAACCTGTATGATTCATTTTACAAACATTTTAAACAAAATAATTTTATTAGAGGATGACAAATAACAAACAAGAATATACACTTATGTTAACAATGCATAATACAATATATACAAAACAAACAAATAAATATTAAAGTAAGTTAACAATGCATAATACAATATATATATACAAAACAAACAAATAAATATTAAACTAAGTTAACAATGTATAATACAATATATACAAAACAAACAAATAAATATTAAACTAAGTTAACAATGCATAATACAATATATACAAAACAAACAAATAAATATTAAACTAAGTTAACAATGCATAATACAATATATACAAAACAAACAAATAAATATTAAACTAAGTTAACAATGCATAATACAATATATATACAAAACAAACAAATATTAAACTTTGATAATTAATTACATAAAAATAAATTATTTCTGCCAATAAAATGCTCAATACGTTTTTTAAAATATCTAAGAAATGAAGCAGAAACAGGTTTGTTTAATTAATATCTGACAGACATAACACCTAGCAAAAGTTATAAGAACAATTTCCCAAAATATCTAAATTATTATTTAAGAGAATATTACCAGAAATGGAATAATAGTGAAAAATTATCATTCACTCACGGACTTTTTAAACATAAATTTACAGTACAGTATTTTAAGATGTAGTTGACATTACTTTTCTTGCAAGCTGTCTACTGTTGTTTTTATATATGGAAATATCATCTACAAGAGATATCGTGTTTACACGATAAATGGGTCGAGCGTGGCCCAGCAGTCAGGGTTCGGAACCGTGAATCCGAGTTTCCATGGTTAGCACTTTCTTACTGTCCAAAAATATTCACGTGCACTATAAGAATGGCGATCAAATCCCACCATTAGATTAGAGTAGCCCACGAGTTGGCGGAGAATTGTGATGATTAGCTCCCTTATCTCTAGTCTACTACTTCAAAGTTAGAGACTGCTAGCGTTTCCGGTAGCGTAAACATCACGAAGGAAATTATTGACTAATAATACAGCTTAGTTAGAAGAGCTTCGTTTGATACATTCTTGTCTTTCTTTTGCATACATCTCTGCACTATTACGTAACATTTTCGACAGTTCACTAATATTAACAATTAACAATAACTTGCACACTCATCTGCCATATATCATCATGATATATTAAAATAGCATCATTGAATTGTGAATACAGATTCTTTGTTCTTGGCACAAAAAGTTCAGTCCCATTACCCAATTTACATCTAAAGTAGAATCCTTGATCCCTTGGTTTCCGAGAATTCACCTGTTGACTGGTGAGTTAATTAGAAAGTTGTAATAACATGAATAATCATAAGCTACTACAACTTTATAAAAGTTTGCGAATCTGAAACTTTCTTAAAAAGCTTTATAAAAATTCTTATTTTAAGAAACGGTCCCTTGTTTTCTATAAAGCTGAATATCCGATGATAGTGTTGTTGTAATAATAGGGATGATACTTTAATTATCTAAGACAGATTTTGTGAACATAATGATAGTAACAACTATTATAATTCTTAATATTTTGATGTTGGTATTCAAGGATCGGGTACAATTAAGAACAAAGATGATGTAAAGAATGAAGTTACAGAACTTAACTTCATTGTTGAAAATAATAAAATACAACTGTTTTCTTTATACCGATTTTGAACAAAAACAATGTAGAGAAGACGTCACAGAAGCTAGCTTTATTGTTGAATACGATAAAATGCGACTGTTTTCTTTATATCTCCAGAAATAGTAAGCATGAAAAGAGATCAAACTAATATTTCAAAAAATTATTTGGATGTTACTGCTGTGTTGAATAAAGTTGTAATTTGGATCACGCCATGATAATTTAAAAATTCGACTTTCGAGTAAAACTACAAATATGCGAATACGAAACAATTCTTTTTCTCAAATATTTAGTTGTTGTTAGTTTATTAAATTCATTAAATTGGTGAGGTATTATTTAGAGAACAAAAGTTTTATATAATTCTGAATTTGTTTAGAAAAATATGCGTCTTGGGTACTATAAATTTGAAATTATTTGTTAGTAGCAGTCCCCCAGTGGCACAGCGGTATGTTTGCGGACTTACAACGCTAGAATCCGGGTTTCGATACCCGTGGTGGGCAGAGCATAGATAGCCCAGTGTATAGCTTCATTACGAACAAACTTGTCTGCAGCAGGGCCAGGATTTTTTGAAGCACATTTTAATCCATTCATTGCCCTGTACCCCCCTAATTCACTGCCACGGTGACATGTTTTTCCTCGGTGAACTAGAGGGGAAAATAAATGTCCCTGTGGTAGTGAACTAGGGGAAATACAGGTCCCTGTGGTAGTGAACTAGAAACCACGGGGACATTTATTTTCCCCTTTAGTTTATTTCGAAGGAAATGTTTTTAGAAAGAAGTATGCAATCAGACCAATAATCATATGATTTATTTTAAAATATCATAGAGTTACATATTAAGTTTTAAATTTTGGAAATACAAATTCCCGAAAATTTATTTCACTTAACACTTCTTACAGTGTCGGCGTAGTGGTTAGTGTGCTGGACTAAGAACTTGAGGAGACATGGTCCAAGTCCTGTGACAAGAATTACGCGCTACTCATTTTGGGGTCGTGCGTGCGTTATAAAAGTGACGGTCAAATCAAATTATTGGATTATAGTAGCCCAAGAGCTGCCAATAGGTGCGGTTGCCTAGCAGCCTTCCGTAAGTCCATCAGTTCAAATTTCGGAAACAAACACATATTACGATCTGAGAATGTTATCATGAAATATTTTGGACAATTACCGAACATGTAATAAGTGAGATATAATTAATTATACAAAACCAGAAGTGTTTTTGTGCCATCTAAAAAAGAAGAGGGAATCCTCAATAGCCGCGGCTGAAATCAGATCTCAAATCGGTCAAGAGATGGCGCTATGAGCTCAAAGTTTGTACTTGAAAATAACAACGACTCAGAGCCATTCTAAGAGTTGCTATGGAACTGTAAAAGTTGTTTGTCTATAGACTGTAATTTATAAAATCATTTTCAAAACTTTCTTTAACCTAAGAACATCGAAACTGTGCTTAAAATGCTCCATTTGCTTCCAAATTCACTAACTTACTATGAAATGACCATACTCTCGTTGTAGTTTGTTAACTTACCATGAAATGACCACTACCACATCACGATGGTCTTTCTTACGCTAACAATTTGAAACTTTCTCCCAATTTATCGTTATAGCACCAACTACAACTCTCGTTATTTTCAAGATGCACGTTCCACATAATACAGTTGCTCCACTGTGAATAGTTCAAAACCACTTTGGAATACTTCCTCGACAGTGTAAAACCCTGAGTTCCAAGGCTGAACAGCAACTGCATCTTGAAAGACTTTTAAGTATTTAGACCAGCCTTGCTAAACAAATGGTTTAGAGTTTAATTCTCCATAACTAGCGAGAACTATTTTGCTAACATATAATTCCCCAATGCATTAGAATTGTAATGCTTCAGAATTCAGAGCTTGACAAAAGCTTGTTCCTGGAATACTTACTAACGTTGTTACTAACAAATGCCAAGATACGTTAATAAAGTTTGTTATGATACACAGTTAAAGTTTTTAAAGAAATATTATTACCTATCATATAGGGAGCTACGTTAACAAAGTTAGTTATCAGAGAAAATGAAGTTGAATATGTCACATTAAAACGTCTTTGAATACACGAATCAGCAAGCCGTATCCCAGCCATGGTAAGCAAAGTAGAGCTTCTTATAACAGGTTGGAATCCACTTTCTTTCTTTGGCACTGGACCATATGTGTTGTAGCTCTATACTGTCATTACAGAGAAACAACGATTTAGTGAAAAAAAAACACCTGTTCTTTGTAATGCTGTGTAAACCGTAAGTTTTTATGCTCACTTCTCCTGGAGAAGATATGTCGTCTATAAATTACCGCAGATGGATGACTTGTCACAATATCCAAAATCAATTGTAGTTGTTACCTTGCAATCTCGTAAACTATCACTTAGTAAGTTTAACTATCACAAATGAAACTGTGTGGAAACTTATGCAATAGAAACCAAACTTATTGCATGTTTCTCTTGTGTACCTATTATTCAATGACGATCAAACTCATGTAGACACGTGGATAACACGTGCTTGTTACACGGTAAAGTTGTAGATATTTCTGATAATATCAGGGCTCAAGAAGGAGAAATAAGTATGTATTTCAGCAGAACGACAAACTTACCTTCTGTTCATTAATAAAATAAAAAGGGTTATATGTTTGTTTGTTTATTGAATTTCACTTAAAGCTACAGAGGGCTACCAGCGCTAGCCGTCCCTAATTTAACAGTGGTAGACAAGAGGGAAGAAAGCTAGTCAACATTACCCACTGCTAACTCTTAAGGTACTCTAATCGAATAGTGGGATTGACTCTCACATAATAACGTCATCAAGGCTGAAAGGGGGAAATGTTCAGTAAAGAGGTTCGAGCCCGCGATCCGCAAATTGCAAGTCCAATGCCCTAACCATCAAGAGATTCGAGCGCGTGACTCGCAGATTGCGAGTCAAATGCCCTAACCCTAACTGCCAGAC